TGAGAGATATGAACTGTCGGAGAAAATCCATCTGAATCAACCGCCAAGAGAAATGTGGCAAGAAAAAGAGGGCAAAGAGCAAAGAATAGGAAAGCATTGCATTAACAAAGAGAATATTAATGAAAAAACTAAAAAAAAAAGTCGGTTTCGTCACAGGTATATAACATGAGGGGGATGTTAAAACATGTATTCTAAAGACTAAAGGAATATAGCTAAACCGTGAAGGCGACACAAATAGGAGGGATGAGATCAGGAAATCTTTTTATATAATTTAGATCACTTAATCGAGTGAAAAATCACATTTCCAATCACAATTCGAAGGAAATAAATTGCCTCACATTTCAGAACGATCATTTTAATTCCTGGCTTTATTCTTTATTATGCGAGGAATACGGTTTAGCTGAAAGGTAAGTTTGCTGATTTTATGGCGAGGGGCACTCTTTCATCTAAACCACTCTACACGGACTGTTAACATATGTTTTGTACTTTTAAGTTGCGGCACAATATGTTCCAACTTCGTTATTTGGGATCGGTTTACAAGAAAGGACTTCTGTTTCTCCACGTAACAAGTCTTCGGTCATGCTTCTGGCTTTTAAGTCAAATCCCGGGGGTAAAAGGCAAATTCCATCGGTATTTACTTTTTAGTCAGGCTTGTAAGTCAAACAGTAGCCAAAAACTGGCCTTTCATGAAGCCAAATGTCACGCGTCGTTAGACTGTTGTTGTACAGCAAGCACTGCAGTTACATTTCAAAGAAAAAAATTGTTTGGGGAGGGGGGTGTGTGGGGAAAGAGGGGAGATGTTTTGTGCTTGCTGTTTGCCGGTCTGTTTTGTATTGGCTTCACTTGGTATTTTTATAATGCTGTTTGTTGTGTCATCAGCGTGAAACTCAGGGGAGATGAAACGCACACAAAATACTGTGTTAACACAACAGTCAATCACCAATAGCAGCACTCAGTTAGATATTAATGCCATCAGCTCACTCTACCGTTTTTTTAAAAAAAAGAAAACCACAACACAACTCAATATTAATCCAACAAATCCAATACAGCCCTTTACGCCCTGACAAAAAAAAATTCGCTACTTATTGATTTATGTTCAGTGGAATGCATTTTCTGCCAAAATAAGGGAGCGCCAATAAATGTTAGTCTTCTGATTTCAAATTGCAAAAGTATTCTTTTGAAACCCGCCCCGAAATCAGTGCAGCAAGTTACACATTTACTTTTAATGCATGAATGATTTCACCTGGTGTTTTTTCCCCATTCGCAAAGGTGCTGAAATAGCATTGCATTCATTCATGCACTTAAAAACAAACCCGGAGACACAGATTTGAAAGCTTCGTTGAGTTTTGGTGACCCGACTTGTTTCGGAGATTTTCTCCACCTACCCCCAAAACCAACACAAACCGCATTGCTGGTATCCCGAATATAACTGAGACACACAGTTATTGAAGAATCTTCAATTTTATACCAGTTGCGCATGAATATGCTTTTTTTTATCAAATGTAAAAAATATATTATGATATCAAGTTTGCTGTTTTCCACTTCCATTGTAATTCAAAAGTGTCTCAGCTTTAATACCAGTGCGGGAATTGCAACAGAGTGCAATAAAAGGAGGATTTTTAAAAAAACACTTTTTGTGGGATGAAGTGCAGATCTTGTCTCCTATGTGCAAATAAATTAATTCGTGGGATTTAATTGCCACGTTACCCGGAAAAGATAGATTGCTAATCATTTTTGATGACGTTTCCTTCGTGCTTCCCATCGACACGGGGAAGATAAGATTATGTCTTTTTGAAATGGGTTGGCAATCTCTTCACTCACACCAGCCAATTTAATGCCCAGGATCTTCCAGTCGTTATTGCTGTGCATTTAAAAGAAAACATTTTCTCAAGTACCGTTTAAAAACAGCGAAAGGGAGACGGTTGCGTTGTCATTTCATTTGTTTTGTTTCCGGGAACAGTAATCAGATGCGATGATCTGATCCCATTTATGATTGAGTGATCTGCCCGTTTTTCTATGATTTTAATGCATTCAATTTCGACCCACTTTTGTTTCGCCTTTAGTCTGTCTTTTCTCATTGGGTTCGAACCCATGAACTCTTCTCTCTGGGGCCACTCAGGCCTTGCAACTGCTCCAGTCTGTGTTATTTTGCCTTGTTGCTCCCAGAAGGTTAAATAAAACCGACCCCCCCTCCTACATTCATGATATAATAATGATGGTCCTGGATTATCATTCGATATATATCGCCTTTCAAGTCGAGAAGACGCCTCAAAGCGCTTCAACGATTTTAGTATAAATTAGTCAAACCTCTATCAAAAATGCAAGGAATATTAATAGGAGGCGAGTGCTCCGTACAGCAAACTTTAAGGGCGATTTACGTTTTTTTTAAAGCGAACGAAACTGAGGGTCGTTATATTTTAATCTAGAGTTCGAAGGGTAATAAACTCTCTATATAGTCTGGAAACCTGGAGATTTACGAGAGTATGTAGAATCGTCCTAACATACTTATCCTTTCACTAAGTCCTGAATGTCAAGATAAGTCATACGGCACAAGTGGAGTGTGAGATAATAATTGTGCATGCATTGATTTTACTGAAACAGCACACACCGAGTTTAGAAGTAGCTTTAATTGCTTCGAAAAAGTTACAACTATTTTACAATCTCCTGCTATTCTGGAGGATTCCCAGCACCTTTATTCAACTCACAAAATACTCTCTTTTCTGTACCTAACTCCCCCTCTTGTAAGATATCTCGCTGAGAAAGACAATTAACACTTATGTAAGTGAGAGCGTTTACTTTGAAACTAGTTTTTCCAGTGTTAGTTTGATTTTTTTAAAAAAAAGATTAAAAAAAACGGTTTTCCGTACTGGAGAACTAAGGATTGATATATGTTCAATGTAAATGATGGGGATTTTTTTCTCTCTCTCTTCCAGAAAGTGTTCCCTCTTGCATTTTTCTTTTCCTTGCACGGTTCTCACCATTGTAACATTTGATGATTCATAGGCACATAAGGAAATAATGTCACCTTATCTCAATTATCTCGAACTTTATTCACGTTCAATCTTCTCGAGGCAAGTGCTAACCACACCTTGAAACTTAACACCCACCGCAACCTTACTTTACGTTTATATAACCTTTAAATGCCCCACTGCCTGTATTTAATGAGACAGTTACATATCTCCTGTCATCAATATGCTCGCAGAATCTTTCTGCAAACGGAGTATGGCTAAAACAATCAAATCTACGTTTTCACTCAGAAAACAACCATTCCTGTCGATTTTAATTGTGCATTTAAGAGTAAGATATATCTTTAAGTTATCACAAACGTTCGTCGCCGTGAAAGCAATTAATTGAACACCATCCGGCGTGTGTGTGTGTGTATGTATGTCGAACTGAATCAACCTACTTTTACTGGAAGCAGGCGAACTGGAGCGAGCAAACAGAGAGGGAGATAGTCATCTTTCTACTCCCTTTCCAACGCATCTCGGAATTTCTCTGCCGGTTGAAATGACACACGGTCAGGTGATGGAATCGCCCCATTTCACTTGATAACTTGCTTTGTTTTTCTCCCCCACCCCCTCCCACCCTCCCGCACCACCCACTCCCTTTGGCTCATTTGAATATACTCAGTGGATACCAACGCCATTTGATGGACAAGTCCCAACCCCCGGCTCCGGGAAAGCAGCATCCACCCACCCTATAGATATGCAGACTGCCTCGGAGCTCTCCAATAAGCGAGCGAGTGTCCTTTGACCCTGGGCTGATATTAACAAGCAGGTAATTGACGAGCTGCCCGGGTTTCCTCTTAAAGCATCAGAACTCATTGACAGATCAGAACAAGTCACTCGTGGGCACAGTCACAGATATACAAGACTGACTGACTGACTTTCTATCTCTCTCTCTCTCTCTCGCTCTCTCCACCGCGTTAAACTTTCCACATCCAGGTCAGTGCAAACTCCTTTTATGCGAAAGATAAACTGTGCGTGTGTGTATGTATATATATATATAAATGCTGGCCGCATCCAGGCAGATGTTGATGTATCTAATCCAGTGTAAAACGTATGAAGCAACTCACCTTCAGAGGTAACATGACTTCTCCAGTTAGACGAACTTTTGCAAAATGGTTCAAAAGAAAAGGCTGTAATCGGAAGCACTGAGCTCTCAGAGATATTTACGATTACGATGAAATGTTGGAAATAAAATAGCCTTAAAGATTCGCAAGGGAGCAAGCGGGTTGAGAACCGATCGGGTTTAAGATACCTGTATAAGAAACTAGGTATAACGTGTTTTGTTTTGAAAAAAAACTCGCAGTTTATAATCGTGTAAATGATAAATGATATTAGGAAACACTGTGTTGCAATCCTAACCCATGTGCTGGGATCAGTGATCTAAAAGGTGCAACAACACCCAGATCTCACACCTGCTCAGAGCAGGTATACCATACTTTTAAATATATAAAATTTTATGTTTATATACGGTATATAAAGAAATGTATATATGCACATAGCGAGCATATATATATATACACTATGTATATACACACACATAGTATATATATACACACATAGTATAAATATATAGTATTTGTATATTATATAATATATAGAGAGAGAGAGAGCAGCTGAAACCTGAAAGAGGCGAAATTCACCTTAATTTCCGCATTGAAAAATTCGGCCCTCTGACAATTTTTGTTGTGATTACCGCGTCAAAGCAAACGAAGACAAAATATTCCCGGACTCGGTTTGAAAAACCTATCGTGCCGTCTGGACGGATCTGTCAAAATAACAATTTCCCCTTCGCTCTCTCCCCTATTCACCCTCCACCGTTGCTTGATGTTTTACAGCCAGGAACAGCGATCTCGGTGGCTCGGGTTGTTAATTCCAGGAGGATAAACCCGATCCATGTTCAATTTAGCCCTCAAAGGAGAGAGGGAAAAATCCCAACTGCATCGCCAGCGTGCGTAAAAATAACACGCACACTCCGGGGTGGCGAGTGGTGGGAGTGGGAGAGTGGTGGCGAGCGCTGCGTGACTGTGGCGAGGTACATGGAGCTGGAAATAGACGTGGAGAGCTTGGAAGAGGAGTTGTCCGACTCTCCCGGGGCTGTTGTCCCGGGACAGGGAGGCGATGGCCCTCCCGCAGACAGCGACAAGAAAGAGCCAGGCCCGGGCGATCAGAGGAAGCTCAGCCGCACCCCCAAGTGTGCCCGCTGCAGGAACCACGGCGTGGTGTCGTGCCTGAAAGGCCACAAGCGGTTCTGCCGCTGGAGGGACTGTCAGTGCGCCAACTGCCTGCTGGTGGTGGAGAGGCAGAGGGTGATGGCAGCTCAGGTGGCGCTGAGGAGGCAGCAGGCAACCGAGGTGAGCAGAGCCAACCTGAGCTGAACGCTGTCGGGTGCAAATTGGCCGCCGCGTTTTGCAGTCAATTCACTCCGCAATGTACCCGCTGTTGAAGCGCTCCGAGGAGTCTCAACGACGTGATAATATTATTATTATTATTATTTATTATTATTTATTATTGCTATTATTAGCCGTGCCAGAAGCACGCCAGGAGCTTCGGGTTTTTGTGCACTACGCTTTCTGGACTATCGGTCTCGTCTGCGTCTGTCCAGGTGGACGTTAACGATCCCCATTGCACTATTCCAAAAGAGGAGGGAGTTTCTCTCTCTCTCTCCCGGTGTCCTGGCCCACATGCCCCCAGGTAAACTTGCTCACCCATCCCATGGCTGTTTGTGGCACATTGCTGAGCGTTTGCCCCACAACAGGCACAGTATTCACGGGAATGGCAGATATGATAGCAGCAGTGGATAAAAAGGAAACGTGGAGATTTGGTTTAAAATGCGTCCCAACACTCACAAAATATAAAGTCAATTCATCTCACAGTATATTCCAAGAGGCGCTTTGAGACGTATGAACGACATGATAAGGCGCTATATCAAATGCAATTATTTATTATTATTGTGCACATAGTGCCGAATGGCTGTATGAATGTCACCGGGGAAACAGCGTTACTTATACTTTCGTACGTTGTCTTTCGTACGCCTTAGGACGTTGTCCTGACGTGAGATGCGCTATATATATATATATATATATATATGCAATTTGTTGCTGCTGTTATTGTTAATCCTGGTTTTCATATTGTACAGTCCATGATCCAACACCTTGATCTCTCTCTGGACGTTGCACAGACCCTTTCCTTTCGCCTATAACCGATGTGCTTTGCCTGTGATAAGCTTTTGAGTAACATCTTTTGCTGTGACCCAAAGCGGGCGGTGCTGCTCGAGGTGCTCTTGATAGTTCCTCACTACAACAACGTGCCTTTTGTGTCTCTCTTGAGATCGCTGCACTGCTCAGCACAGCACAGCACAGCACTTGGATCAGATCCCCATTAATGCCGAAATCGTTGACCCAATATTTCTGCTTGCAATTCGTCTTGCCGACTGAATTAAATTACAGTAATCGACTGAACGAACTATGGTCCGGATTAGAGTTTAAGTAAGCACTGCTATCTCCATATGAATCTCGGCCTGCATAAAATTAAACAGTCTCGTTGTTTACAAATCAATCTCGCCAATTTAACGTCTTCTAAAAACCCTTAAGGCTCTAATGTGTCCTCTGAATCCCCGGAGAGATTAATACAACGTGCATTCCCGTACATTAATTCACCGCAAAGCCCGTGGACGGCTTCCGGGGCTTTTGACATACATTTCAAGCAGTTTCTGCGCTCTGTCAATGCTCTCTATAACCTACAAACCTGTGTGTGCTGGAGTGGGGTTGGAGGACAGGTCTCTAATACCCGTTGCTGCTATTTCCCCCCCACATTATTTACCATAAAGGCAGCAGATTTCACTCGTCAGGCACACGGAGGTTGCATTTTATTGTGAATTGAATTATTTTCCAAAATAAAGTGTCTTGCGTTGATTTTCTTTCTTTCTTTCTTCCTCCTTTGTTTCTTTTGAAGGATAAGAAAGGACTGTCGGGGAAACATAACCTGGCCGAGCGCAGGGCTGCGTATCAGAGGCATGTGAGAACCCCCAGCCTCCTGGCCAAGAGCATCCTGGAAGGTGAGCAGGACACCGCCTGTGTAAAGTCTTTAAAGGCATTAAGGAGAAGGTCGGGGAGGGGACTGGCACTATTTACATAGGGAGAAGGACTGGGAATACTTACATTCGAGAAATAACTTGGAATCCTGACATTGACATTGGGATAATAAATGGGAGTATTCAAAGTGAGAGGAGGGAAAATGACTGGAAATGTTTATGTTGGGAAAATGACTGGGAATATTTAGAAAGGGAGTTTCAAATGCTGGACATATTTACATTGGAAGAATGACCTGGAATATTCACATTTGGGGAATAACTGGGAGCGTTCAGAGTGAGAGGAGGGAGAAGAACTGGTTCTATTTAAATTGGAAAAAGGACCGGGAATATTTCCACTGGGAGAACAACTGGGAGCATTCACAGTGAGAGGACTGGAGATATTTACATTGGGAGAACAACTGGGAGCATTCATAGTGAGAGGACTGGGAATATTTATATTGGGAGTAAGAGAGAGGGTATTTAAAAAAGGAGCAGATATGATTAAGAACACGGGTCCAAGTTCCGCTGGGATTGCAAGTTATAATTTAACTTCCCTCTATCATCGGGCAACACAGACCTATGGAATACTGTTACAAAGTTTGATTTCCTTGTGTGAAATCATGTTACATTTTTGCACTAGGAAATTGGATAAAAAATACACGGGGATAGGTGGGGTGGGGGGGGGGGGGGGTGGATTTTAAAGAATTATTTAATTGCTGGGATTTCTATTTTGCTGTTGCTGCAAAATCGTTTTCTTCTCTCAGGCAGAAGGATTAAGAAATTAACGAGCAAAGCCCTAAAGTGGAATTCACAACTAAAATCATGCCCTGAAACGATTAGTACTGTCTCAGCAGTGAAAAGTAACCTCTTTGACAGTGGTATAGATTGAGGCGGTCACATCTCTCAGTGTTTGTAGATGCGATAGATTTACAGAATGCCACTTGTTCCAATGGTGATCTACACTGAAGCTGCAGTGATGGAGAAATGTTATAAGAAGATAAACACGTCTAGTGGCGTTTGCACAATGACACACACACACACACACACACACAGACAAGAGAAAAAATATGCAACCTTCGTAAAATGTGACTTTCTCCCGGGATAACCATCGGAAACAGTCAATCAAAATGTTTTGTATACTCAGTATCAGATGTGTTCGCATTTTTCCCTTTTTGGTGAGTGAGGGAGTGAGTGAGGGAGGGGGACAGGGGAGCAGAGGGCTCGAGTTCTGCATGACAATTTGGCCAATTCAGATCTGAAATCATAGGAACATAGGAATGCTACAGTTAGCAATTATTCCTGTTTATTAAATATCTGTAAAATAGTTTCTCATACTAGTTTGTGGTCAATCGGACTCTTAGCAAGTGCAGGGCAAGGCCATCAGTTTGACCTGTCGCTGCTCACTCTACAGACAGTATAGTTTGAAGCTCTGTATTTGCTGGAGTTTTCCTCGTCAATGTCATGCAGAGAAAGGCACGGATCCGTGGGAATAATGGAGCGAATAAATAGTAAATAATAAATAAATTTCCCAAGCAAGGGCGGCTGCTTGAATGTACTTGTCAGGGTAAACTAGGGAAAATTTATCAGCGTTTGCTGCAAGCGATCCGGGTCTGAAGCAATGGTGTGAATGTGATCATTTGTTACTATAATGTTAATAGGGTGAGCTTTCGGGATAAGACACTGCGAGGGTCATTATCCAGGACATGTCAGACTCTATGAAAGTAGAGATGAGCGATGGGGTTGACATCATTTATAACAAACAGGTTGAAACAAGGGTTATGTTTCGTTTGCTGAAATGTCCTGAGTAATGATCTTCCCGAGCTTCCTACTCTGAAAGTTCACCCATTTCAAAACTGAGGGATAATCTTTTCAAGTGAACAGTTCCCCCCCCCAGTTCTGCAATAAAAAACACAGAAAAGGTAGGAATCCAGATTAGTCAGTATCTTTAAAGGAAATAAAGGATGAGGATTCGGATCGTTTCTTTCAGTTACCAAATGACCTTCTATAGATTTATATTATTTTCTTTTTTATTTCAAGTTTTTTTTACCATCTAGGTTTTTACTTTCCTGTTTTGCTGAATATGGATTGTTTTAAAATAAACAAGTAACCCACAAGAAACTCGTACAATTCCAATCACTCCTGGGATGGGATTTTGAAATTAATTCTGGCATCAGTTTTTTATATACTGTATTTTGTTTTGGGGATATTTGGAGAACTAATTGATTCTGATTCATATTCTGATTGCTCCCTCCACATTTCATCTCATATTTTGGCATTTTGATTGCAAAATGAAGGTTTCAAAACAAATCACAATTTTGAGTAATGGAATTGGGTAATGGCAAAAGGGGAGAACAAAAGATTGCAAAATAATTTTGGATAACTTGATGGAGCATTTCCATTTTCAGGATCTCATCCCTAAAGGGTCACATCATTCTTTGTCTGTGTCAGACCAGGTTTTGCAGTGTGAGTAATTCTGCAGAATGTAATTGCTGTACTGTGGATGGATTGTACCATGGAGTGCAAATATCTCACAAGATCACAAGAAAAGTTTGGATGAAGAGGGCCCATTGGATTTCATCCTTCCAGAATACCCACTCTCCCATCCTCCTACCACAATGAATCCCTTAAAAAAAATGGTCACTCAATTCACGACTGTTTGTGGGACATTGCTGTGCACAATTGGCTGCCGTATTTTGCCACAAAATATACAGTCAATTCACTTTACAGTATATCCTGTGAAGTGCTTTGAGACATCTCAATGACATGATAAGGCACTATATCAAATGCAAGGATTGTTATTATATTATTATATAATATATATTATTAATCCAATGCCCATACCTCTCTCACCCTTCCTGACAACCTGTTCCAGTTGTTAATTACTCTCTGGGTAAATAAACACTGTCTGACTTGACTTGAAGTTGCCTTTTCCAACTGTCCGCTTCTATTGGTTCAGTGAATTCAAAAATATTGTTGTGAATTTACATTCTCAATCCCATTTAAAATCTTAAATACTTTAATAAGTGAAAACTCCGAACTGGAGTTTCAGCAGCTTGGTATACCACTCAAGCCAGTGCTGTAAAACTATCTCTGGAAATCTCCCACCACTTGGCTTTACATTGGCAGTGCAAATCAACTTTTAAAATTCACTAATAATATCATAATCCTTGCATCTGATACAGAGCCTTAACACATCAAAATCTCTCAAAGTGCTTCAAAAGGTTTTCTGTAGCTAAAGTTGTAGTGACTGCATGTAGTGACTTCAAAGTTACTGGATGACTGGTTTTAAGGTTAAGATTATTTAAGAGTCGATAAGGGTCCCATTCTTTTAATGATAAATATTAAATACTATTCATCACTGGTTAGCTGAACATTGTGTGCAGATACAAAGTTTAGATACACTGAGTTCCATTTCACGTGCTTTCAACACTGTTGATATAATAATAATCATAAAGTTTGCTTTTGATATAATGCCTTAACACGTAATTTCAATTCTGCAGTCGTACATCAAGCACTGCATTGTGTTGTTGGTTATCTTTTTTAAAAAGTTTTATCTATCCTTATGAGCACAATATTTAAAGTGTTCAGACTTAGAATGGATAAGATATATATTAAGTACAGCTGATTTTCTTTTTGCTTCATTGTAAAGGTCTGCAACTGAGTGTGCAAAATGATTTAAAGCAGTTAGCTCCAGCAGGGGAGTTGCTATCAGTCTAGACACACACCATTGGCTCAATGGTGCTTTTGGACTGCAGGAAACCCGTGAATTACAATCGTGATACAGAAACCAAAGTAATATCATTTTGTGTTTTTTCATTGAAACGCTTTTAGAGGTCCTCCCGACACGAAAGACGCTGCATAAATGTAAATTGTATTGTACTGCAGAAAAACTATGAATTAATATTGTTTTACAATAGTCAAAGTAATATCATTATGGGAACATAGGCCATTCAGCCTATTCCTCCATTTTATTAGATCATGGCTGATCTGTACCTCAACTCCAATTACCCACCTTTGCCCCATATCCTTTGATGCCCTTACCTGACAAAAATATATCCACCTCACTCTTGAAAATGTTAATAGATCCAACATCCACAGCCCTTTTTTGGAGACAGTTCCAGATTTCCACTATCCTCAATTTGCTCATTATTTGTGTGTTCTGTGAAGCTATTTTAGATGTCCTCCTGAGGTGAAAAGCGCTATATAAGTGTAAATTGTATTGTATTGAAGAACACACTGGCATAAAAAGGAGGACTTAAATGAAAAATTCTAGAGGCTTCAGACATAATCTTCTAATTTTATTCATTCATATATTTTCTTGTCATCATTTTGTACCCCTAATGCATACTTTGCATTTGTTCCCTTGATGTAGGCTACCGTCCAGCCCAGACTGACCCTTATTTGGGAGGAAACACACCCTTGCCCCCTCCTGTTAGTGACAGGATGAGGAAGCGGAGAGCCTTTGCCGACAAAGAGCTGGAGAGCATCATGATGGAGAGAGAGTACAAGGAGAGAGAGATGATCGAGGCCGCCCAAGCTGCCGCCGCTGCTTTTTTCCTTCCAAACGGCATGGTCCATGCGGCAGAGTATAACTCCTGCAAGTCTAACTACAGCACCCAGGGGATGGACAGACCCTCCAAGGAGATCTCACAGCATTGCAATTTCATCCCCTCTTGCCTCGACCTCACCATGCAGTACTCGGGTTCCGACAGAGCCGTGGAGCTCATCTCTTCCAACGTCAGTGTGGCCACCACCTACAGGCAATATCCCCTGACCCCAAGGCTGATGGTTTGGCCAAAGTGTGGGGCTATCAGCGATGCTCTCCTGTACCAGCAATACCTGCTGAACGCAGGCGGCGCCATGCACACCCTGAAGCCCGAGCTTGTTTGGGACGCTAAGGGCAGCCCTGTGCAGGACAGCCACCTGGCCAGTGGAGGCCTGGAGTCACCCAAGAGGCAAGTGAGGGAAATGCAACAGGCTGTAGGCGAAATGGGGGGAAGAAACAACCCCCAAAGGCAGGAGATGCCATGTGAAGGATCAGCCTTTTCCCCGCCGAAGCGCGACTCACCAGTGCCAACACCAACGCAGATCAGCAAGGAGAACTGGCTGCAGCCGCCTCATACCAATACAGCAGGAAACACCCCAATAATAAAGACTGCCCCAGGGAAAGATGCCTTCCAGGAGGCGGCCAGGACACACAGGGAACACGCCATGAAGGAAAACCAGATCCGCAGGCATCCTGCTGACCGCTACACAAACACAAACAATCTGGTGGCCTCCAAGCAAATTGGCACCAAAACCTCGCCTCCTGACTCACTCTCCTTTTCCGTCGAGTCCATTCTCAAAAGACCTTCGCCTTTCCTCACCCGCACATACCAGTAATCGCCTTAATGCATCTTTATAAACAGTAAAACCTGTGTAATTCTGATCTGTATGAATCATATAATCGCCTAAATGGTACATCTGCCCAAGTCCTGTCCAACAGTTTATATTCTATGCAAGTTTGACATAACTCATACTTTGCATAAGTCATACTAAATGTATGTTCCCAGCTGATACGACTTAAGTGAGGTTTGCTGTACCTTTTAGAATGATTTATGATTTGTTCAGGTATATTTTCGACAGGGGAGGGGAGTGTGGGGACCATTCAAAGCCAGGCTGCCTTTTGTATAAATGTATTCTTGATGTAAATGTTTCAGGCATTATTACTTTGTACAGATGTTGTTAGCATGACTTTGTTTCCAGTGAGAGTATATTTAAAGCCCCCCCCTCATACTGTATAATTGAGTTGTCAGAATACTGCTAACTATCAAATGTTATTTTATGCACTGAAATGCAAGTGTATGCCTAAAATAAAGAGAAACTTCAGGACAAGTGGTCTTTATCTTTTACTAGTTACACTACAAAGTCGTATTTACAGTAATAGGATTTTGTATTAAGATATTGTTTTTTAAAGAAAATTATTTACTGTTAAACGTCTGGAATGCATTGCCTGAAACGGTGGTGGAAACAGATTTCATAATAGCTTTCAAAGGGGAATTGCATTGGTACTTAAAAGTGAAAAACTTGCAGGGCTGTGGGGTAAGAGCAGGGAGTGGGACTAGTTGGATAGCTCTTTCAAAGAGCCGGTACAGGCACGATGGGCCGAATGGCCTCCTTCTGTGCTGTAAATTCTATGATTGTATGAAACATCTGTGCTTTGCATTCTATACCTGATTGAAGAGTGGGCGCAAAGGCTGACTTTAATTTTATCTTTTTCCTGTGGTGAGTTATGTAACCTTTGAGTGTCACTTTTCCCAGATGACTTTCCCTCACAAGGGGCAAGGGGAATTGTGGACATAAACTCAGATCTTCTTCCAACCTTCATATTCTTATTCTCCATTTCTTCTCCTCCCTCTTCCCATTTTATCTTTTTATCTCTTTTACCTCTCAGTTTTTCTTTGCCTATCCATTTATTCCCCTTCCTTTTCAAAAGGCACTACCTCTTGCTTCATGGCTTCCTACACTTTTCCTAGACTTGATCTTAGACAATAAGTGTCAGCAGCTCCTCACCCATCGGGGACATCACAACCAATCCCAACCTGCTCCCAGCACACACAAATTTACTCCTGATAATTATTGAGTAGCTACTGGATAACTATCAGGAGCAACAACCTTGTTTAATTCTCCCTTTGCCAAGCTCAGAGCACTGAGACCAATCGTAGTAGCACAACTTGATGCATATATCTGTTTGTCCCGGTGTCCTGGACAAAAATCCCCCAAATAAAATTGGTCAGTCACTTCATTGCTGTGTGCAACAGACTGCTCACCACAAAATATCCACAAAATACACAGTCAATCCACTTTACAGTACTGTATATCATTGAAATGCTTTGAGATGTCTGAACGACCGCTATATCAAATGCAAGAATTATTATTATTATTATTGCTGTATATGAAATGTAGCTGACATAGGCATGCTGTATTTGCCTGTATGTTAACAATTACTTTCATTTCTAATCAATTGTATTTTGTACAACACTTCAGGATTTCTTTGTTAAGTGATAGATGTTATATAAATCCAAGATATTATTATAAGAGGATACAGGTTCAGGGTTTTAAATGGCAATTCCAAGACACATGCCAGGAAGCATTTCTTTACATACAGAGTAGTTAAGCAATTGGAATAGTTTACCAGAAAAAATAGTTGCAGACAAGATGCACGATTCATTTAAGAAGGCTTGGCTAGAAGTATAAACTGTCAGTTCAGATGGAAGAAACTACTGAGGGCTTCAAAAATGACCCTGACAAATTTGTATCAACTAAAAGCATTTCAGGTTATTAGATCTAGAGATAACTATTTTAGAAACACCCTGTCAGAAACTGGGTGGGTAGGCTGGATGGACACAGTCACTACACTCAACAGTAAATCCTGTGAAGCACTTTGAGGAGGCTCAATGACATAATAAGCTGTTATATCAAATGCGAATGCAAGGATTATTATGTTTCACACAGGAATTATATTTTTTCCTAACACATCACAATAACATCAGAAACTCACACCCCACAAAGTTGTGACTAACTGTTAAAGTAACCTCACGTATCAGATACAAATGATCTTTCCAGTTTCTTTGTAAGGCATCTGAACCATGATTTTTATTTCTTGGATTGTTTGAGCAAAACTGCAAAATAATTCTTGTGGTCTTTCACAAGGAACAGGAGCAGGATACAGTATTTAGTCCGCCAATCTGTTCCATTTTATTAGGGCAGTTCTTTTTGTAAAGGTGAACTAAAACAGAAATATCTGACTGAGAAAGCATTGCTGTTCTCTGTCCTGCAGTGATTTGTGTGCTTTGATGCACACAAGTCACTTGGCCAGAAGTAACGAGGCGACTTCCTATCAAATAGGTTGATAGAAAATTTGGCAAGAAGTGCATTTCAGGAGTTGGAACAGCAAACATCAGAGCTTGACTTTAAATTGCAAAAAGCCAACTATTTACCCAGATGTCCTTAAACTCGGGCAACAGGGCTGGGAGATTCCCAAGATTGCAAAAGCAGATTCCCTTCTTGGAAGGAAAATGACTTCAGTTCTGCACATCTGCATCCTAAATTTCTATGGAGGAGAGCGTGAAAGTTTATTACATAGTGGCAGTGAAGTAACCCTATACAAGATTAAGGGAAGGAGAAAAGAAGAGTGAACGTTTCTTCTTTGTTGTAAGAAGTCTGACGCAAGCTCTTTGCTAAATACCAGCAATAATTCTTTCTGTCAAGAGAGAATTTTTTTNCCAAGGGTCATTTTGCTGGTCTGGGCAAGCTCTATGTAAAAGTAATCAGGGATGAAATATGCACGCTGTTGTTCTCTTGTATGAGTTGTAGTCCTCTTATAATGCACATCGTTAAAAGTGAACTGAGGACTCTTTACTATTATTTTTTAATCATGGAAGGATTGGGAGATGGACTGAGCAAGCCTGAGGAGAACTTTGGATCTTCCATGAAAAATGGGTTGGGACAAAAGGTTGGAGGATAAGGAGGTTAAGTCAGAGCAAAGAGCTGTGACCTGACGATCAGTAATAACACAATTGCTTAGGTAAAGCACGTGCTTGTTTGGTAGATCCAAACATTGCTTGACAGATGCGCATCAGCTTGGCTCAGCTAGTAGCACTCTCGCCTCTGAGTTGGAGGTCATGGGTTCAAGCCCCATATTGGGAGTTGAACTCACGTAGTCCAGGCTGATACTCCAATCCAGTGCTGGAGGTGTGTTACATTGTCTGAGGTTCTAAACTTCGGGTGAGGTGTTAAAACTGAGGTCCCGTCTGCCTGTTTAGGTGACGTTAACGATCCCATGGTGCCACTTGTAAAGAGAAGGAAGTTTCACCCCATTTCCTGGACAATAAACCCTCAAAAATAAATGTGGGTCATTCACTTCATGGTTATTTGTGGGACATTGTTACACAAATAGGCTGCTGGCTTTACCTACACATATGCTGTCACTCCACTTCGGAGTAAGACATCAGAGCTTGGATGAGAGCAAACTTCTTACAACTAAATGTTTACAAGATGGAAGCCATACTCCTTGTTTCCCGTCAATGCCTCATTCCTGCGCCTCTTCCTCCTCAACCTCCCCGGCCTATCCCTCAGACTCACCAAACTGGCATGTAACCCAGGCGTCAAGTTTGATCCACAGCTGTCCTTCCTGCCCCACATCCGGTCCTTGACCATGACCGCCTTACTCCACGTTCGCCACAATGCTGGCCTCCGACCGTACCTTACCCAAGACGCAGCTGAAACACTTATCCATGTGATCGGCACCTCCCGACTCGAATTTTCAGCATGCCCTATTCGCTGGTCTCCCCAGATCCACCATACACAAGATCCAGCTAATCCAAAACTCTGCTGTCCACATACTCACTCACAATAAACTCCGTGGCCCCATCACACCTGTCCTTGCCAGGCTCAACTGGCTCCCAATTACGGAACAGATCGATTTCAAGATCCTCACACTCATTTCGAAATCCCTTCATGCTCTCGCACCTCCCTACCTATCCAATCTGGTTATTCCCCACTCCACCACCCGCTGCCTCTGCTCAGCTGGCCCTCGTCTCTTCCGTTCCACCATCGGTGGCCATGCTTTCTGCCAATACGCCCCAAAACTCTGGAACTCATCCTTCCTTGCCCCCTCCCTCCACACTTCCGAATTCCTGAAGGACTTCCTTTTTGATTGTGCTTACGGTCACCGCACCCCTGGCTCAGGATCAGACTCCACCACCGTTAAATGCTCCATAAGGGTGCTATATAAATGCTAGTTGCTGTTGTTCCCCTCTTTTTCCCTCTCCATAATGGAATAGCCCACTTTCCCCAGACTATCAGTAAATAATAATAATTATTATAATCCTTGCATTTTATATAGCACATTATCATGTTGTTGAGATATCACAAAACATTTCAGAGAATATATTGTAAAGTGTGGACTGACTCTGTATTTTGTGTGTGAAACACAGTAGTCAATTACTCACAGCAGTGTCCCACAAACAATTGTGGAATGAGTGACCAATTTTTTTTAATAAAAAATATTAGGATCCCAACATTTCCTATGGTTTCAGCCTTCAAATCATTGATTTAAAATATGAGATTGTGCAGAATTTTGGAAAATTCTTTAATCCAGTCTTAATTTGAAAGATGTTTTTCTGCAGCCCTTCTTAAGCACTTTTAAAAAAGCCCTTTTCAAGCACCATTTCGCCGACAAAATATAGTCAATTCACTTTGCAGTAAGACTTGATTACCCCAGTCCTTGCCAGACTGCACTGGCTGCCTATCCCAGAGAGGATCGATTTTAAGATCCTCACCCTTGTATTCAAGTCCCTGTACTCCTCTGCAACCCCCTACCTCTCTGACCTCCTCTCTCCTCAAAACAGTACCTGTTGCCTTTGTTACTCCAGGTCTGGCCTCCTCCTCGTCCCCTGAGTCCTCCGCTCTTCCCTTGGCGGCCGTGCCTTCAGCCACTATGCCCCGAGGCTCTGGAACTCCATTCCTCACTCCCTTTGCCTCGTTCCCTCCTTTCCTATTTTCAAGTCCCTGCTGAAGACCTTTCTCCTTGACTGCACCTTTGGTCACCTTCCTCCCCCTCCCCCTGGCTCGGACCCGGGATCCGTTACTGTGAAGCGCTCTGAGACACCGTCCGGCGTGGAGGGCGCTATATAAATCCAAGTTGTTGTTGTAGTTGTTGATAAGGCGCTATATCAAATACAAGGATTCTTATTCTTATGAATCACCAATGAATTATGAATTCCAAATTGACAACAAGCTTAAGTAATTTCCAAACTTTGTCATGATTTAAAATTTTAACACAACTGTCTTTAAGCTTAGACCTTCAGAATATTTCGGCCTCTGTTTGTTCA